AAAAGCTTTTAGATTCTTTAACGTCGCTTTCCGTTTTCTCAGTCCAGGCCGACGCTTCGTCATACCCCCTCGATATTCACGTCGCCCTTATTTCAAACATTCCGGTTTCCGACGATTTGATCAAAAAGTTTCCAAGCTTGCTTGAGCCATCGTATTCGGTATCGAGTGCGCCACATCGCGTCGAGCAGCACATAACGACCACCGGTCCTCCAGTTCACTCTCGTCCGCGACGACTACACCCTGAGAAGCTGCTAATTGCCAAAGCTGAGTTTGACCATATGTTGCAACACGGTATCATTCGGCCTTCAAATTCATGTTGGGCTCCTCTACATTTGGTCCTCAAGAAATCCACTGGTGATTGGCGACCGTGCGGTGATTACCGCTCACCCAATCGTTGTACAATACCCGACCGCTACCCAATACCGCATATCCATGATTTTGCACTGCAATTACAGGGCAAGACTGTTTTCTCGAAAATCTACCCCGTCCGAGCGCATCACCATATACCGGTTGCCCCCGACGACATCCCCAAAACGGCGATTACCACAACTTTTGGTCTATTCGAATCCACACGCATGCCCTTTGGTCTTCGGAACGCCGCTCGAACGCTCGAACGCTTCTTAGATCGGGTACTGCGTGGTCTAGACCACGTTTCCGCTTACATTGACGACGTGTTGATGGCAAACAAGACGATCGAAGAACACAAACTACACTTGCAGGCCGTCTTTGAACCTTCTCAACAATATGGTATTACTATCAATCCAGATAAGTATGTTTTTGCAGCACATCAGCTTGGCTTCCTCGGCCATTGCACTAACTCCGAAGGAATCCGGCCGCTGCCAGATAAAACAACTGCCATTTCGGACTACCCCTCACCTCAGTCAGCATGAAGCCTGCGGCGATTTTTGGGAATGGTCAACCATTACGGCAGATTCATTCCACGCTGCTCAGAGATCCTCGCACCGCTAACCGACCTGCTCAAAACAAATAACAAACGGTTACAATTCAATGACCAAGCTACAACTGCCTTCAGCGGCATTAAAACCGTTCTTTTGGAAGTCGCCACCCTGGGTTATTTGAACCCCAGTCCTGATTGCCGACTCATACTAAAAGCGGACGCATCACAGACCGCTGTTGGTGCGGTCCTTCAGCATGTAGTGAATGACAGCACTCAAACTCTGTTTCTTCTCTCGCAAACTGCAACGCAGAACATCTCAAACCAACACACACCGCGAGAAAACCGACATTTAGATTTCAGATCAGTTTACAACTAACACGCTACACAGAAGGGTCTGAAAACGTTGTTGCAGACGCTATCTCCCGCATTGAGATAAACAAAGTAGCAACGATTCCAATCGACCTACAAGCCATTGCCTCTGAGCAGCAATTAGAACCTGAATTCCCGAATTTTTTCAGCCTTCCATCTCTCAAATTCGTCACACTACCGCTCCTCAACTCTGACAGTTTCATTGTTTGTGACATATCCACAGGACGTCCAAGACCTTTTATTCCTGAAAAACATAGACGCTCTGTATTCGACCACTTCCACGCACTTTCTCATCCCAGCATACGAGCGACTGCCCAACTTGTGGTGACAAAGATCGTTTGACCGAATATGCAAAAGGAGATACGCACTTGGGCCAAGCAATGCCTTGACTGTCAGAAGAGCAAGATCCACCAAAAAACCATTTCTCCAACTGGTGTTTTTCAGCTTCCCGACTCACGATTTCGAAATGTACACATTGACCTGGTTGGACCGTTGCCCCCATCCATAGGTTTCACACACATACTCACCTGTGTCCACCGTTTCACACGCTGGCCTATGGCCATTCCGATCAACGACACCTCTGCCGAAAACGTTGCTAGAAACTTTGTCGATAGCT